GTTGTCAAAGACCCACTCTTCTGGACACAATTCTACTGAATACTTTTGAAATACTATGCGGAAGGAAGGAGTTTGAAACATTTTGCTCTTATGTTTGGCCATATTGAAAATTTCTAGTAATCGATTGGTGCAGCAAATGGAAAACATTAGATAAAATTCAAACTTCTGGTCTAATATCCATCTTCACCTAGCCATAATCTGATTAGAGTTAAGTCTAAATCGGTCGCTATAAGGTGAATCGAAATTCCAAGCTTTACACGTGGATTTCGAGTTCATATAATACACATTAGGACAGGAACCATCCGAATGACGAGAGGCGATCGTGGTTCTGACTTTCAGGATGAAATACGATCGCTTTTCACTTCCGGAAAGCGCAGACAGTCAAATAATGTTAAATAACTGGTAATCTTCAGAGGCTGAAGGGAAACTATACCACATTAACTGGCCGCGTTTGTTCCACTGACTAGTTAAGACCTAACATCGGATAAAGGGAACTATGATTTATATATGAATCGGGCCCCAGCAGCAACGATACTAAAAGTCCTACTTAAAGCAAAGAAAACGTGCGAGGATAAACTTTGTAATAACAGTTCCGGGGGTACTAAAAAAATGGTCAGGAATAATTGGCTGTCACAAGTCAAGCTGCGCCGACCGATGTCACCTACCTTGTATACAACGGGACTCTCATTTAAGTTCGAAAATGTAACAGATTCTATTTCGTCAAACTTCCTGGAATCTACGTTATCGGTAGGTTTATCGTCAGGGGCAACCGCAGACAGGTCCGAAGATCTACAATTGAATTAAACCACAAAGTTAGATAAAGATGACACGTGGAATGTGCAAATTGAAACCTAATTAGAGTCACAAAAACACCTGCGACTTTATTACTTAATACGAACCATTAGTTCAGAAAGAAATTAATTTCGGCTTACCCCTCGGCACAAGCTAAACCAATTTTTGATTTAACGGCAACAAACCGGACGTCTACATCTGTGCCCAAAATTCGAAATCGTTCAACCGATCCAAGGATAATATACGTGTTATCTGCAATGCAATACTAGCACATCACAAAATGAATACGTACGTAGGCGGAAGAGAAGACTCTGGGAGAACAGATGGTCACATCGAAATCGTTGTCCTCTGAAAGACAAAATCACATTATTTTAGAGCCTACGTAATGACGACTTTGAGTAGTTCAGCTGACTGGACATTTTTAACGGCGCTTATCTTTAGAGTACAGCTGTTGTCAAGACGAAAACGATGAAGCGCACTTTGACTTATAGAGGCTTTCGGGGATTTTGAAAGTCCTGGTGTAGAAACAAAGTGACTGTTAATTACTACTGGTTGAAAAATTCGTAAATTATTCTCCTCCAAAAATGATTTTGGTAAGAGCAAATCAACAGGCATGATTAGGTAAGATTTTAGGGTCTATTGTGAAAGAAAATATTCAGTTCTATGGGTTCAAGTTACCACTGCTCTCAGAATTCATAATCGAGTTGTAGGAATCTAACGAGTCAGGCGGTAAACCCAAGTCTGCCGCTGAAGGATATAGTCTTCATATGCAAAAGTCCCTTTATTAGCATCACAGTTTCAAAAAACACAAGTACTGATACCAGTGTTAAAGGTCTAATCTCTTGTTCACTTTCGTAGTTAGGCCATGACGAGCGCTGATACAACGTTATGAGAAAAACCACGTAACAGGTCATACATGTAAGCTATAGATCAACCAAAAATACGTTGTGGCTGCTTCTTGAACGTGGTATGAAGGTTTTTATGAGAAAATGAAATTCGTAATGTTTATTTAATTTTGATACATACCCTGCCAGCACAATCCCCGTTTAGCCCCACTTAGGGCGGGGGCTAAACGGGGATAAACGGGGCTGTACCCCACCTAGGACGGGGTTCCTGACGGGGATTTCAACCCGTTTACCCACGTCTTGGAAAAAAATCGGGCAGCATGACGCCTTATCCTAATCCTTTTTAGC